CGGAACAGTGGAGAACCTTCCCAGGAGTGGCCGGCCGACAAAAATTACCCCAAGAGCGCAGCGACGACTCATCCAAGAGGTCACAAAAGACCCCACAACAACATCCAAACAACTGCAGGCCTCACTTGCCTCAGTTAAGGTCAATGCTCATGACTCCACCATAAGAAAGAGACTGGGCAAAAATGGTCTGCATGGCAGAGTTCCAAGACGAAAACCGTTGCTGAGCGAAAAGAACATAAAGGCTCGTCTCCCTCGAGTGCTCGAAAACCCTCCAATGTGGCTGAATTACAACAATTCTGCAAAGATGAGTGGACCAAAATTCCTCCACAGCGCTGTAACAGACTCATTGCAAGTTATCGTAAACGCTTGATTGCAGTAGTTGCTGCTAAGGGTGGCCCAACCAGTTATTAGGTTAAGGGGGCAAACACTTTCTCACACAGGGCCATGTAGTTTTGGATTTTGTTTTCCCTTAATAATAAAAACCTTCATTTAAAAACTGTGTTTTGTGTTTACTCGTCTTTGACTAATATTTAAATTTGTTTGATGATCTGAAACAATAAAGTGTGACAAGCATGCAAAAAGATTGGAAATCAGGAAGGGGGCCAACACCTTTTCACACCACTGTATCTCTAGCCTGCTACAATGGGACTGTACTGCTAGACCGCTAAGATCGTCTCAGAGTCTCATTCTGCATGTTCCAAAATCAAGATTAAAGACTAAAGGTGATCGTGCCTTCTCTGTGGCAGCTCCACATCTCTGGAATAGCCTCCCACCTCATATTAGATCCTGCAACTCATTGGCATGTTTTAAATCACTGTTATGTACAATGTAAAGCACTTTGGTCAACATGTGTTGTTTTTAAGCGTGCTATAGAAATAAATGTTGATTTGATTTGACATAGACTATATGGCCATAAGTTTGTGAACACCTGACCATCACACCCATATGTGCTTTCTGAACATCCTGTTCTAAATTTAGTCCCCCTTTGCTGTTATAATTTACCTCCAATCTTCGTGTGAAAGATTTCCACCAGATTTTGGAGTGTGGCTGTGGGGCTTTGCCAATCAGACACAAGAGCATTAGCGAAGTCAGGCTGATTTCAGATAAGGAGGCCTGGAGCACAGTCAGTATTCCATAGGTGTTCAATGGGGTTGAGAACAGGGGTCTGTGCAGGCCACTTGGGTTCTTCTACCTCAACTTTCTGCACCGGCGTATTGTCATGTTGAAACTTGTTTGAGCCCCATAGTTCAAGCATACAAAGACATTCTATACAATTGTGTGCTTCCAACTTTGTGGCAACAGTTTAGGGAGGACCCACATATGGGTGTGATGGTCAGGTTTCCACAGACTTTTGGCCATATAGTGTGTATTCAAAGCCAGAGTACAAGAAAGTAGATTTATAATGAAACTGAGAAAGAATGAACATTGGTAACTGTTTTGACTGTGTTTGCCCCACCAGGCATTGGCTGGGATTTTATATAGATAATTATTCAAGTCGATGGCAACAAAAGTTGAAGGATTTTAATTTGTGGTGGGAATATATATATGCATTTAAATTCAAGGTTATCCTCTATCCTTTATGGAAGTCCATAAAAGCCATGGTTTGGTGTAGAGGAACTCCAGTGGCCTGCACAGAACCCTGACCACAACCCCACTGAACACCTTTGGAATGAATTGGAACGTCAGTTGCAAGCCAGGCCTTCTTAACCAACATCAGTTCCCAACCTCACAAATGCTCTTTTGACTGAATGGGCACAAATTCCCACAGACACTCCAAAATCTTGTAGAAAGCTTTCTCAGAAGAGTGGAGGCTGTTACAGCAGCAAAAGGGGAAGCTTCATATTAATGCCTATGGTTTTGGAATGGTATGTCCATTAAGCTCACATAGATGTGATGGTCAGGTGTTCACACACTTTTGGCTATATAGTGAAGTGTGAAGTGAAGTGTACACACACCCAGAGCAGTGAGCAGCCTTTTTTTGCTGCGGCCTGGGGAGCAGTTGGGGGATCGGTGCCTTGCTCAAGGGACTCACCTCAGTCGTGGTATTGAGGGTGGAGGAGAGTGCTGGTCATTCACTCCCCCCACCTACAATCCCTGCCGGCCCAAGACTCGAACCTTCAGGTTCACCTTCGGGTTGCAAGTCCGACTCTCTAACCATTAGGCCACGGCTGCCCCCGATATAAATATAAATATAGTGTATATTTAATGGAGACATTGTGTTCCTCTCTTAACATGCAGAGAAATATGTAACCAGATTTGAATGAAGTGGATTGAGTATATTAAAACCATAAGGTCTGATTTTTGTTGAACTGAAGCGTGAATGTGTAATGTATATGTAATAGGTACAGTCCCCTCCAAAAGTATTGGAGCGGTGAGGCCAGTTCTTTTGTTTTTGCTATATACTGAAGACATTTGTGTTTGGGAATATGAGACGATAGATCAGAATATCAGCATTTAAATTACATCTAGATGTGTCAACCTAGAACACGGCACCTTTGGTGGCAGACCACAATTTTTAGGTGAGCAAAAGTTTTGGAAGAGATAAAGTATATTAAAGTAAATAAAACTTAAAGTAAACATATCCCTTAAAGTAAATATATATGCTTGCAATAACAAAAGCCAGTGACCCACTGACATCACCAAACTGCTGCATTCTTCTTTTGTGATGCTTTTCCCAGCTTGTACTTCAGCTTCTTTCAGCTGTTGTTTGTTTTAGGGGGTTTCTCCCTTCAGTCTCCTATTCAGGAGGTGAAATGCATGCTCAATAGGGTTCAGGTCTGGGGATTGACTTGGCCAGTCTAAAACCCTCCACTTTGTTGTGCTGGAAGTGGGTTTCCGTTTATTGTCTTGCTGCATGATGAAGTTGCATCTATACAAAGATGCATTTCTTTGTATATTGGCAGACAGAATGTTTCTGTAGACTTCTGAATTAATTCTGCTGCTACCATTATGAGATATATCATCAGTAAATATTGTGAGCCCATTGTAGAAGCAGCCATGCAAGCCCTAGCCAGGACAATACCTCCACCATGCTGGACTGATGAGCTTGTATGTTTTGGATCATGAGCAGATCCCCTCTTTCTCTACACTTTGGCCTTTCAGTCACTTTGGTGGAGGTTGGAGGTTAATCTTAGTTCCAGAACTTTTGTGGCTCATCCCTCTATTTCTTTACGATTTCCAAATTGGCCTTCCGATTCTTATTGCTGATGAGTGGTTTGCATCTTTTGGTATGGCCTGGTTTGGTTGTTAAAACAACAGTGGTATCTTTTGGTATGGCCTGGTCTGGTTGTTAGTACACCAGTGGTTTCTTGCTTTTTCAGGACATTCCAAATTGTTGTATTGGCTATGCTCAATGCTTGTGCAGTTGCTCTGATCACTTTTCCCTCTTTTCTCAGGTTCAAAATGTCTTGCATTTCTCCCATATTCAGCTCTCTGATCTTCATGTTGGTTTATCCTTTTTAGTAACAAATGCAGTATTTACAGGCAAAACCCAGGGCTCAAATCAAGAGTAGACGTTCAGAGCTATTAATAGTTTAAACAGGGCACACCTGGGCAACAAGAAACACCTGTCAGTCACATGTTCCATTTTGTTTGATCACTTGAAAAATGGGTGGGTTCAAACAAAAGTTGCCATGTTCAAAGTTGTTTAACATATCTAGATGTAAATATCAGGAAAAGAAAGCTGAAATTCTGATCCATTGTCTCATATTGTACATAGTTTATTTTAAAGGAAAGTACTACTGGGAAAATACTTGAAAGCTTTGCTGTAGATTTGGTAAAATGTACAAAGGCTTTTCATAATTCTTTATGTCAGGGAAGTACTGATGGAAAGTGACAGTGCATTATAAAACTGAAGTGCTTTTTCAAATAAACATATATTTTGCTAAAAAAAATATTAGGGTGCCAGGTGAGCAGTGTTTTATAAGAAAATTACTAGTATATTAGTAGAGTCTGTTGAGTCTTGCATGTGGGTACAAACAGAAATAACCGGTCAAATCTGGCAGAATTGGTCAAACTTTTGGCAGAAGCAGGTGGGATTGGTCAAGAGTGTATACAATAGCAAGCGGAATTCGTCAGAATTATGAGATTTTATTGGTGGAAAGTAGTGTTTTAGTATAATCTCTGGAATAGGTAGTTCTGTAAGCACTGGCAGATTGCACTGTGTATGTTGCACATATAAGTCAGTTGGTTCAGCTTCTACTGCCAGTAGCAACACAGTGGCTCCTTGGTGCTGCCGTACGGGTGTCCATGGAAACCAAGCCTCTACAGGAAGTGTGTGAGATTAGGGAGGTGGCTGATGAGATCTCTTCAGAGAAAGGGAGTACGCAGTCAGCATAAAGAATAAGAACAAGAAAGTTCTTCTGAGATAACATATTGAGATAACATATTAATGGGGTTGACTCTTAGTTTTCAATGCCTGGACCCAGTGAATCAACCCTTTTTGGAATCAACATCTCAAAAGAACACACAACGGCTAGCAAGCATGGTTCAACCAGGAACATTTCTCACTGTTTCACACATTCCCACAATCAAGAGATTACAAATCAAATTTATTACTCACATGAAAACACAAGTTATGTCATGAAGCCAACAGTGTAGTGAAAGGTAAAGAGATCCCACACTTGAGAGGATGTTTTTGCTGCTGTATCTTGCTCCATCATTTCCATCAATTGCAATTTTAGTCTAAGCTAAATTAGTTGGTTACACGCATCAAATTTTATCGTTTTTGTCAATTAGTTACATCCCTAATATTTTGTCAATGCATCCATGAGCATCATGCATAAGGGACAAATAAGGATTTTGAAAAAGCAAATTTAAAAATTAAAAAATCAAGCATATATCTGGCAATTGCTGAAGCATTTGGAATGTGATATTCACATACATTTTACATAAAAAACATGCAATTACGTGAATTTTGCACTTTCTCAGCAATATAAATTAGTATTGGTATTAAAATTGATCATGTGTTCAGACTGTGCTGGGGACAAAAGCCATTTAATTAGTCATAGCTGTGGACAGCCAATTAGAACAGATACAATTTAACCTATATCACTCTTAAAGGCTCAGTACAAACACAGTTTTTGGTACATAAAACCACACATTATAGCATTGTAAGAGGATGTTAGGGGAAAATGTAAAATATGAGCATTGACAGTAACCTGAGCTCAGGAGCTGTGAGCCAACAACACTACTCACTGCGTCACTGTGCCTGTAATAAAGAACTGTATGTACATAATTTATGAATTGAGAATAAGTACAGAAAGTGGCAGTGGAAGAAGGTCACATCACATGATTTTTGGTTGCACCTAGAGTTGGGCAATATGGCCTAAAATTTTAACACAATAAAATTTTCTTATATATATATATATATATATATATATATATATATATATATATATATATATATATATATAT